GAGAGAGAGAGAGAGAGAGGAAGAAGAAGAAGAAGAAGAAGAAGAAGAAGAAGAAGAAGAAGAAGAAGAAGAAGAAGAAGAAGAGGAGGAGAGGAAGAAGAAGAGGAGGAGAGGGGGAGGAAGAGGAGGAGGAGGAAAAAAGAAAAATATGAAAGAAAAAGAAAACAAACAAATGTGTCTGACCAATAGCTATATGTATTAATCAGTTTTCTCACTGCTGGAGCACAGGACTTAACACCCACAAATTAAAAGAGAGGTTTAGTTTGGCTTATGGTTTCAGGAGATTTGGTCCATGGCTGGTTGAGTCCATGGCAGAACCATCATGGCGGAAGGGCATGGAGGAGCAAAGGTGCTCAGCTCATGGTGTCCAGGAAAGTGAGCAGCACCAGAGAAGAAGGTGCTAGCGACCAAACACAGGCCGAGGGCCTGCCTCTGCGACCCTCAGATACCCAGCAGGGTACTCCACATGCCCTGGGTAGCCCCAAGCCAGTCAGGAGGACTCAGTTGAGCTTGACGTCAGGGCATTCACACTCGGGGTCAGCAGCTATGTCGTCTCTTCCAGGAAAGACAGCTTCTGTGTTTCTGTCACCAGTGAGGAGTTCCTGGTAATTCTGTTTCACTCCCCATGACAGACTCAGTGTGTGTGTGAGGGGGGGCGGTACGGGGCTGAACTGGGTGCATTGGGGACCCCACTTGGGCACACTTTGTCTTTGAGGTGAAATAAAGATATCGCTGTTTGCTTCGATCCTTCCTGTCACTCCTTGGGGATCCAGCCTGACAACCTACGCTTGCTACATGACTTGCTTCCCTCTTGGATTAACACTACCTAAGAAGCTACTTATAATCTTACTGGTTGATCATAGTTTTGTCCCATGTTGTACTCATCTCATGAGTTTGTTCTATAAACTTCCTTTAAAAAGTGAGTTCATTGGGAATTCACTTTCTGGGTCACTTCCTGTTATCTCAGGGGCTCTCAACATAAATGCTTGTCCCAGAATTTACTCTGATCTTAATCACATGCATGACTTGTGGCACATATTTATGAGCCCTTAATGAGGTTGGAGTAGGGTGAAGGAGACCCAGACAGGCTAGCAGGTCAGGCTAGGACAGTGGTAGCAAACCTAGGGCACACACACTGCAGCTGGCTGCATCATTTTTTTCATGTATTCAGTACAAGGTCTCACTACACAGATTGGACTCATAGTGATCCTCCTGTTTTCAGCCTCCCAAGTACTGGGGTTACAGGCAAGCGCCACTACGCCCAGTCTCAGTGCGCCCTGGGGGTGGGGGGTGGGGCAGGGCAGACATGGCACGCAGGGATTGAACCTGGTCCTTGGGCTGCCTAAGCAGGCACTTTAATCCGGCTATGTGGCCAGCCCTGACCTGGCTGTGTCGTTGAAAGCACTAAGGGCTAGGAGATCCAACATGAATGTTCTCTCACCTAGAGCATCAGAGATCTCCTGAGTTATTGTTACTTTCTTTTTTACTTCACTTGGGACAGTGGAAGGGTGGAATAGCCCTAGGGTGCTGTTTAAAATTAAATAGACAGAAGGGAGTGATTCCTCAGCCCCACTTACGGTAACTATACTCCTGGCTTCCAAACTTTCCATTTCCAGAGTCATATGCATATTAGCATAGGGCTCATAATCCGGGAGAAGGAAGTGGCTTGGTGGGTGGCCTTTACTGACCAGGGTCTGGTTCTCACGTTCACAAGTTCAGAGGCTTAAAGACTTTCCTCCTTTCTCTGTTTCTGGGTCTCTTTTCCTTCCTCCCCTTGCCTCACCCCACTGGGCATTGAATACTGAGCTTTCATACCTTTATCAATTTTTGCATTCCTTTATAATTTCTGCGTTTCTTTGTAAATTTCTGAGCTTGGAGGTACTGTCCTGCCTAGCTGCTAAGCTGCCTGAGCTGAGCTCACACTTGCAATTCTCTGCCTCCGCTTCCCAAAGTGCTGATATTATAAACAGTTAAGTGGAAATATTGTAGGCAGTCAAACAGGATGAGGCCAGCAAAGGAGTCAGTGTAGAAGATGAGAACACAGTTGTGACTAGAGGCCAGGCCCCAAGATAAAGATGGAATGACTACACCTACATACCTCCCTGATGGACAAACAGTATAACTGACATTCTAACTAGGTATCAGGTGGGTGACCAGGACCTCCTGACTCACCTCTTCCAACCGAGGTCCTTGTTCTTTCCACATAAGCTTCCTATGTGACTTGCTTCCTCCTTGGATCAGTGTTACCGAAGCAGCTACTTATAATCTTACTGGTTGATCATAGTTTTGACCCACGTTGTGCCCGTCTCATGATTTTGTTCTATAAACTTCCTTTGAGAAGTGGACTTATTGGGGACCCACTTTCTGAGTCCCCTCCTGTCTCTCAGGCACTTTCTCCCAATAAAGTTTCTTATTCTTAACTTTGGTTGTTCTTTAGAATTCATTCTTTGATTTTGGGGAATACAAACTTGGCTTATGGGACATCTAGCAGGTTGGGAGTTATAGGTCCCTTATTATATCATTTGGAGCTCCTATACCAATGGGATTACAGGCGTGTGCCGCCACACCCTGCTTCTTACTTTATAGGCATTTAGGGAAAGCACTATATACTTTTTCAGCTCCTGTATTTAATTTTTCTCTCCTGGGATCTCCCGTCCCTTTTTTTTTTTTTTTTTTTTTTTTTTTTTATATTTATTTATTTATTTATTGTGTGGCCAGCTCAGCCCACCAGGGGGCGAGCAGGCCTGCATGTGGTGCTGGGGGATTGAACCGAGGTCTCTGCTTTGCTTGAGCTTAGCTTGTTCTAAGTAGGTGCTTTTAGACCACTGAGCCATCTCACCAGCCCCTTTTTTTTTTTTTTTTTTTTTTTTTTTTTTTTCCCGTCCCTTTTCGCTATCAAAGTCCTCTATGAGACGGCTGCTTTAGCGAGCACGCAGTCAGAACAAAGCAAACACTTGCGCAACTCTGCCAACGTCCACATCCAGTCCAAGACCCGAAGCCCCACCTGCAGCCCGTCCCCTTCGCCCCACATCACCGGGTAGGGTGAGAGACAAGGCCTGGAGGAGGAGTCTCCTGGTCCTGCCCGCCGCCCTGCGAGGCTGAAGTTTGGACAGCCCCCTGCGGGCAGGGAGTTCAGGGGCCCCGCCTCGGGCACCCTGACCTCTGCTTGGTTTATGTTGGAAAAGGCAGCGATCCCAGGTATTGCCGCGGGAGGGTTGGGGCTGGGGCCAAGGGCTCCAGAGCCTCTGACCTAGCCGTCCTCGGGTTCTGGCGCTCGCCCTCAATCAAAATGGCCCACGCGGCTTCAGCGCGGACACGTGACCAGCCCGCCCCCCCCGAGGCCCCGCCCCCGCGCACTCATTTAACCCGGGACCGCCGCGGCAGCCGGCGCGGGAATCATGGCCCAGACGCCGGTAGGGTGCTGGGCTGCGCTGGGCGCCCTGCTGTGGGGGTGCGCGCTGGCGCTGCCCCGCGGGATGCTGTACCCCCGCGAAAGCCCGTCGCGGGAGCGCAAGGAGCTCGCCGGCCTCTGGAGCTTCCGCGCCGACTTCTCCGCTACCCGGCGCCGGGGCTTCGAGGAGCAGTGGTACCAGCGGCCGCTGCGCGAGGTGCGGAACCCCAGCCCCTGAGTTGCACCCCTGGCCTCCAGGCGGGCCGGGCGGAGGGTACGATCACAGTCTCGGAGCGCGGGGCCGGAGAGGCGCCGGCCCGCTGCACCGACGGGGCGTCCTCGGCTCCCAGGCTTTGGGAAGAGGGGACTCGGAGGAGGGGACTCGGCACCGCCACGGTCCCCACTGCCTGGCCGGGCCGGGCCGGGCCGCACCGCGTGCATCTCCTATTTCATCGTGGCCGCCCAGCCATCGGCGAAGGAGGAAGTGCAGCGGGAGGCGGGGGTGCCCGGCTGCATGACCCAGGCACTGTGGGCTCAGCCAGGACCGCACTTCCCCCTGTGGCTGGTGCCCTCTGTCGCTTCTGGTCTGGCCGTTCCTCCCCGGCTGGGCGGTGGCCCTGAGTTTACCCTTGTCCTTGAAAGTATTGACCCTGGTGCCCCGTGCCCCAAAGTGCTTCGACGCTGTCTGGCACAAAACGCCTGGCATGTGAGCCTGATCGATTTGGGCGACACTTGTTCAGCCAGCACCATGCCTCTCAGGGCAGGACCTGTGCTGGGTGCCCGGGATACAGCTGTGGAGGCCAAGGGACCCAGGTTGCTGGGGGACCCAGACCCAAGCCCGGCTCTCTTTCCCTTAGTCTGGCCCCACCCTGGACATGCCCGTGCCATCCAGCTTCAACGACGTGGGCCAAGATGGACAGCTGCGAAACTTCGTGGGCTGGGTGTGGTACGAACGGGAAGTGGTCCTGCCTGATCGATGGACCCAAGATCTGCACACAAGAGTGGTCCTGAGGGTTGGCAGTGCCCACTACTATGCCATCGTGGTCAGTGCAGGAACAGCAGTCAGGGCGAGGGGCTGTCACCTGCTTGTGCCTTCTGGGGTGGCCCTGGGGTCCCACACTGGGGTCTGTGTCCTGGGTGGGGGGAAGGGTGGCCTAATCTTGGGCATCACATTCTTCCAGGCTTGGGGGGGGTGGCAAGACCCTCTCCTTGCTCTCCTCCCCATTTCTCCTGTGTCTGCAGTGGGTGAATGGGGTCCATGTGGCGGAGCATGAGGGCGGCCACCTCCCCTTCGAGGCTGACATCAGCAAGCTGGTCCAGACGGGGCCCCTGACCTCCTGCCGAGTGACCATCGCCATCAACAACACCCTCACCCCACACACCCTGCCACCGGGGACCATCCTCTACAAGACTGACACCTCCAAGTGAGCATCGTCTTCCCGCAGGACAGGGACGGGGTGGCCTGGGGCTAGGGAGGTCAGGGAGTCTGAGGGCCACTGGCCATTGTCCCTCCACCCCAGGTATCCCAAGGGTTACTTTGTCCAGGACACAAAATTTGACTTCTTCAACTATGCGGGACTGCATCGGACTGTCCTCCTCTATACCACACCTACCGCGTATATCGATGACATCACAGTCACCACAGGCCTGGATAAGGACACTGGTGAGGGATGCTGGTAGGAAGTCTCCTTGGCTGGACCCACAGTGGCTCTTTCCCTGTTTGGAAAGATTTACCCTCAAAGAAAGAATATCCTGTAGGTGTGTTGGCCCTCGCAGGCTTCCATCCACTTAGGAGCTAAACCTGGGCTGTTGGGGCTGGCGGAACCTCACCTCGAAGTGGGGTCCCAAGGGAAGTGGAGTGTTTCCTGAGTGTTATAGTGCTTATGTCATCTCCCCTCGCTGCACACTGAGCTCTGGAAACAGCCCAGTTTGTGCAGCTTTGCACCTCAAAGTGGAGGTGGACCCCATTCACCCACTGCAGACACAGGAGAAATGGGGAGGAGAGCAAGGAGAGGGTCTTGCCACCCCCCCCCCAAGCCTGGAAGAATACAACGCCCAAGATTAGGCCTTGTCTCAAAATACAAAATTTTAAAAAAGAGCTGGGAACAGCTCAGGCTGAAGGCCCTGGGATCCGCCCCCAGTGAAGAATGCAACAAAGGAAAGGAGCGTTACCTCTGTGTGTGTGTGTGTGTGTGTGTGTGTGTGTGTGTGTGTGTGTGTTGGATCCTGGGGGGACTCTGGAAGGTTGTGGCTGCAGGGCAATCCAGGTTACAACCCTCCCTCAGCCCTGACCTCCTCTCCTGCAGGGCTGGTGAATTACCAGATTGTCACCCAGGGCAGTGAACACTTTGAGCTACAAGTGTGGCTCCTGGATGCGGAAGGCAGTGTTGTGGCCCGGGGGACAGGAGGCGAGGGCCAGCTGCAGGTGCCCAATGCCCACCTTTGGTGGCCGTACCTGATGCATGAGGACCCTGCCTATCTGTACTCGTTGGAGGTAACCGTGGCTCAGGTCTGGGATTGAGTTTGTCCCCACTGGTGGCCCAGGATGTGCGGGAGGCGGTCAGGGTCCTTGGAGTTTTCTGTTTCCTGCCTTTGATGGGGAGGCTCAGTGGGATGGCACTAGGGACTGTGACTTCCACATCTCTGCTTGCAGCCCCAAAGGTGGGTCACAAGGGTGGTGTCACGAGGGTCCTTTCCAGCTGGCTGCGGTGTAGGGTTTGTCATTTTGGAGGCTGAGGCAGGTGAATTGCTTGAGTCTAGAAGTTCAAGGCTATCCTGGGGTGGGGACCGGTGAGATGGCTCAGTAGAATAAGCACTTCCCTGGCAAGTGCAAGGGCCTGATTTCAATCCCTGGTTCCACCAAAAAAAAAAAAAAGAAGGCTATCCTGGGCAAGATAGTGAGACCTTATCTGAAAAAAGCAAAAAAGAGGGGCTCCTTCCTGGTAGAGGACAGCCTGGGGCTCAGCCTTGTCACTTGGGCCCTGTTGCTCTCATAGGTCAAGATGACCACACAGACAGCGACAGGGCCCATGGCTGACTTCTACACACTTCCTGTTGGGATTCGCACTGTGGCCGTCACAGAGACCCAGTTCCTTATCAATGGGAAGCCATTCTACTTCCATGGCGTCAACAAACACGAGGATTCGGATGTGAGTTGGGGCTCCTGAGCCCCTGCGTGGGACGTTTCTGCTCATTTCCTTTCACTTTCCTCTTGTATCTGAAGCCTCTGAGCGCAGCTTGGCACATGTAAGCAAATTGCTTCAAACAGCAAGCCTGATGTGATGGTGCATGGCTGTCATCCCTCAGGCTGGGAGGCTGAGGCAGGAGGATCACAAGGTTAAGCTCAGCAAGGGCAACTTAGTCAGACTCCTCTGTGTCCAAATAAAAAAACGAGGGGCCGGGGAGATAGCTCAGTAGAATAAGCGCTTGCTTGGGAAGCGCAAGGTCCTGAGTTCAATCCCTGGTACTGCAAAAAAAAAAAAAATTAAATAAAAAATGAAGGCTGTGGAGATAGGTCAGTGGTATAAGTGCCTGCCTGGCAAGCGCAAGGACCTGGGTTCAGTCCCCAGTAACACATACTGTTCCGGCCCTGGAACCTGGGGCATGCTGTACCAGCCCCCAAATCAGGCATGATGGTGCACACCTACAATCTCAGCACTGGGGAGGCTGAGACAAGAGGATCACTATGAGTCTGAACTGCATAGTGAGACCCTGTATCCAATAAATAAGCCCTAAAATATTAAATAAATAAATAGAAAAAAAGGGGCTGGGGGTGTAGTTCATCACAAAGGTCCTCGGTTCAATCCCATACCTTAAAGCCTGTGTGCAGGCTGGAGGGCAGGTGATGGGGGCTTCTTCCTCCACGGTGGGCAGGGCTCACTGTGCTCTGCACCCTAGATCCGGGGCAAGGGCTTCGACTGGGCGCTGCTGCTGAAGGACTTCAACCTGCTCCGCTGGCTGGGGGCCAACTCCTTCCGCACCAGCCACTACCCCTACGCGGAGGAAGTGATGCACCTCTGCGACCGCTACGGGATCGTGGTCATTGACGAGTGTCCCGGCGTGGGCATCGTGCTGGCGTGAGTGCCCACTGCCCGTGCTGCCCAGTCTGCCTGGCCCTGGAAACGATGACTGCTGGGTGACAGGCACTCCCTCTCCTCCCCTCCCACAGTGAGAGCTTCAGCAACCGGTCCCTGCAGCACCACCTGCAGGTGATGGAGGAGCTTGTGCAGCGCGACAAGAACCACCCGGCTGTGGTGATGTGGTCTGTGGCCAATGAGCCCTCTTCCTCCCTCCAGCCTGCTGCGTACTACTTCAAGTGAGTGCCTGGTTGGCCAGGGTGGCAGCCAGGAGCCGGCAGAGGTGGCATTGGGTAGTTTCCTGGGCCTGAGGGGCATCTATACCCTGTCTGTTCAGGGGAAGTAATATCCACCCACCCAGGTGGGGACTTCTCCTCAGTGTGGCCCTCTCTGTCCTTTTCACATTTGAAGGAATCCAGAGTTAACTTGCCAATGCATCTAACTTGCTGTGTTAAAAAAAAAAAAGAAAAGGAAAAATTAGAGACAGCAGGACCTGTCATCCCAGTAAACTGGGAGGCTGAGGCAGGAGGGTACAAGTTAGAGCCCACCCTGGGCAATTTAAAGAGACCCTGTCTCAAAAAAGATGTAGCTCAGTGGAAAGGCCTTGGGTTCACACCCAGCACTGTCCCTTCCCCAGGGCCCCAGACCCGCACTGTGAAGGTCTCGGCTAGCTCTCCAGGGTCCGTGCTGACTCTGGTTGCTCTGCCAGGAGTCTCCTCTCCCCTCCTCAGTCGGCTACTCCCTCAGCTGACTGCTTTAAACTCTGCCTGTTGTGTCTTAAAGGGCCCACTACAGCCCCTCCCTAACTGCGGGCCCAGGTCCTCAGGCTGTAATGTCATCTGTGCCATCTCTGACTGAGCTTTTTGTCCCCTCCTGAGCACCAGCAGAGCACTGCTTGCCTCGCTGCAGAGTGGTTTGTCATGTCAGTATCCTGTCCTGACCTGCCCCATTCTTCCCAACTTTTTCAGCTACTTAGAATATAGATTTTCCTCTATTTTGAGACAAGGTCTTAAGTCTGGGCTCCACCTTGGGATCCTCCTGCCTCAGCCTCGGAGGGCAGGGATCAAAGCTGTGGACAGAAGAGCGGGTTCTGGGGGAGCCGAGGAGGGGCAGCACAAGGAGCTCGCTGATGGAGCTGTCTTCTGCCCCGTGACAGGACGGTGATCGCTCACACCAAAGCCTTGGACCCCTCCCGGCCGGTGACCTTTGCGACCAACTCCAACTATGCAACAGACCTGGGGGTGAGCTGGGGTCCCTGCTGCCTCTGCTGCTCCCCACCCCGGCCTGTCCCTTGGTCCTAGTGGTGCCAGTGCAACCTAGGAGGACACAGTGGCCGTGTTCTGTCCCTGTGCTCTCCTGGCTGATGGGTGGCTGCAGAGTTTTAGGAGTCTAGGTGGGAGCCGTGTTCAGATCCGCGGTGATTCCAGGGACCTGGCCAGGTGCAGCCTCCTGGCACAGCGGCTACACCACGCGGCCCCCAGGCTCACTGCCGGGCTTTGGCAGGGCCTGAGCTAGAGCCAGAAACATATCCCAAGGCAAATACTCTCAGCTGGGAGCTAAAGGGAAGCGATGAGGGAGAAATGGGATAGGAAGAGAGGTGGGCTCGGTAAGAACGGATGAGAAACCAGCACAAGAGCAAGTGCACAGCTGGGCCCAGTGGCATAGGCCTGTGGTCCTCTGTCAAGGAGGCTGAGGCAGGAGGATCGACAGTATGGAAGAACATAATTGCAAAGCCAGCACGTTAGTTTTTAATGCGGATGGAAACAGCCTCAAAGGACACCCCATGAAGAAGCATAGTGGCTGGGCCAAAACCAAGGTGTGGCATGAGGTGGCCTGCGACATGTGGATCTTGGCTGGACTGTGATCCTCAGACCTCCCCAGCTTTCTTTGGCCTGGACCCTTCTGCCACCAGCTGGGGCAGGGGCTGTGGTTGCCAAAAGACATAGGTCCCAGCACAGGCTGTAGAGATGAGCTGTGTGTGTGTGTGTGTGTGTGTGTGTGTTTTCAGGACAACCCAGGGGACTGCACTGCGCTGCAGTTCTTGGCCCAAATCCTCTTCTGTGTGCCCTTCGCCCTGCTTACCTCCTTCCTCTGTCAGCACTGCTGGCTGCAGCTGCCCGGTGCCCACCCTGTGCCCTCCTCGCCTCTGCTCCTTACAGGCTTGCAATTCTTGCAGGTCCCGTACGTGGACGTGATCTGCGTGAACAGCTACTTCTCCTGGTACCACGACTCCGGGCACCTGGAGGTGATCGAGCTGCAGCTGCGCACGCAGTTCGAGAGCTGGCATCATGCCTACCGGAAGCCGATCATCCAGAGCGAGTACGGGGCCGATACCATCCCGGGGCTGCACGAGGTGAGCAGTGGGCTCTGCTCGCCCGCATCAGTCCGGGCTCTCCCGGGCCCTCCCACCTCGGGTGCTGTCTGCTGCCCCAGGTCTGGCTTCGCGGGTCCTAGGGGCCTCGTTTCCACCGCACTCCCACCAGCTCCGCAGGAGGGCGATGTTTTGTTGCTTCTGTCTTGCAGTAGTAGATGAGGAACCCAGGGCCTCCAAACTGAGATACAGCCCCAGCTCTTTTTATTTTTAATTTTTAGTTTTTTGAAGTGGAGTCTTGCTATGTACCTCATGCTGGCCTTGAACTCAATATGTAGCCCAGGCTGGCCTCAAACTCAAAGCAATCTCCTGCTTCAGCTCCAGGTGCTGGGATTATGGGCGTGTGCCACCGCAACCTGGCTTTCCAGCTCTTTTTAAAAGCTGAAAGTTATTTTGAAACAGGGTTTCACTGTGTTGCCCAGGCTGGCCTCAAACTCATAATCCTCCTGCCTCAGCTTCTGAAGTGCTGGAATTAGGGGTGTGCGCCACCACGCCCACCTTTCAATTTGTTCGTGTTAAATATGTGCAGTTTGTTGTGTGTCATTGTGTGACTGCTTAACCAGACTGGGCTGCAGGCGAGAACGAGCCGTCTGTGTTGTTCCTGTGCACTCAGAGAGGCCCACACTGTGAGCGCTGTTTATTAAGCGAACTTGTAAATCTTGGAGCAAGGCTTAGTTGGTCTTTTGTCCATTTCCTCACTAAAGATGCGGTCTGTCTTGGGTTTTCTTTCATGTGGATTTTTTGTTTGTTTTCTTTTGCAGTACTGGGGATAGACCCTGGGGCTTTTGCACTGAGCTCTATTAATCCCCAAATCTTTTCTTTTTTCAATTTTGAGTTGGGGGTCTTGTTAAATTGCTGAGTTGCCCAGGCTGGGCTCAAACTTGGTATCTTCCTGCTTCAGCCTCCCAGAGCGCTGGAATTACAGGTATGTACCACTGCCTGAGGCTTCGTGTGCATTCCTGAGCTATAACCTGTCCCTCCTCCCACGCCAGCCCCTGCACCCTGAGCTGTTACCACTAAGATTCCTGGAGGAAGCACATTTTTTCCAGTGCTTCCCCTTTGTATGAACTCTACAAACGTTCCACATTTAACCACCTACCAATTTTGGTGCCAGAAACTGAACTCGGGACCTTGTGCTTGCCAGCCGGCACTGTGCTGCTGAGCTATCTCCCCAGCCAACAACCTATTTAATGACTCTTTGGATTTAACTACCACCCTTTGGATCCACAAGCCGTCACTTTGGGTTTTGGGGTATAGTTGTGAATGTCATTTTACATCACCTCAATGTCTTTTTTGGGTACATATATGTGGTCGGGTTGGGTTTTTTTTGCCTCAATATGCCAAAAATATCTGGCCTGCCTGTTTTGATGTAGAAGGGAGTGGTATGGAGCCCAGTCTTGCAGGACCTGCTGGTCATCTGAGATACAAGTAGAACAGCTGTACAGAGGGCCAGACAGATTTACCAGGGCGCTTTTCCTCCGGCTCACTGCTAAGTACCGTTTGCTTCCAAACGTTCCTTCTGCGAGTGCATACAGTCTCTCAGCTCTGTGTACACTTCCGAGCCACAGGCAGCAAGGGAACAATTCATTATCACTGTTTTTCTTGGCTTGGTGATTGCTTTCTGTGTTTCACTTTTGTCCGACGGTCCCAGCTGGTGAGCTCCTTTACTAGGGACCTACTTTGTGTGCGTGTTCTCCAAGGTATTTACCAGACTCAGAGTCATGGCTCCATGAGTGGGTCTCACTGTCAAGGATATTTGGCATTTCTAGCGAGTTTTACATAGACTCAGGTATGTTCTGTGATGGCTTGTTAGTATTTGTTTAGTTTCACTGGTCCCTTGCAGTTACCTGGGAAGCTTCTTCGTGAATGAGTCAGAACTGCACATTCAGAACACCGCTCCCAGCAGCACCAGCTCTGCTCGGTGTAACTTTGAAGAATTCGCGGAGCCTGCTGAGATGCAGGAAAGCGCGCATGAGGAGATACGGGAACAGGGGCTCTGTTGATTTGCTAAAGATCACAGCTAGACTGCACCTGTTTTGTGGTCCTGACTCTTGATGAGCCCTTCCTGTGTCATTGCTGTGTGGCGAGAGTGCCTGGGTTTTCTGACTTTCATCTCTGCTTTATGTGACCCGTGAGGCATCAGTGTTGCCCGGACCCAGCTGACGTGGTAATTTGTTGGCGGCTGCTGTTTTATTTTTTATTTTTATGTTTTGGCACCAAGGATCAAACTGGGGACCTTGCACTTGCCAGGCAGGCACTTCTACCTCTGAGCTATATCCTGGGCCCTGTGCTTTATTTTAAAGGTTACTGGAGTTCATGTGTTCTTTTTTTTGCGGAACCGGGGATTGAACTCAGGCCTTTGTGCTTGCCAGGAAAGCGCTTATTCTACTGAGCCATCTCCCCGGCCCCTCATGTGTTCTTAAGATAAATGGAAAAAAAGAAAAACAAATCATTTTCATCAAATTATTTTGATAATATGATATCTAACACAGATATTCCTTATTTAGCATCCTACCTGTTAATGGCTGTTTGGGCTTGAGACCTGTTATTTATTTATTTTTCTTTATTTAGTACAGGGTCTACAGGGTGTTCAGGGTCTCACTGCATAGATAGGACTTGTAGTGATCCTCCTTTTTTCAGCCTCCCAAGTGCTGGGATTACAGGTGTGCGCCACCACACCCAGTCTCAATCGCCATCTCAGCGTGCCCTAGGGGCGGGGCCAGCGCGGCATCCCCTGGGATCGAACCCTGGCCGCTGTGCTCTGCCTAAGCAGGCACTTTAGTCTGCTGAGCTGTCGGGCCAGCCCAGTTTGTTTTTCTGTCTTACTTTTGTGCGGTTCTGTACATCTTACTGTTTGTCTTTTTGTACAGTACACCTTGTTTACACAGCGCTCAAGTTTTGCTGATCACTGCGCAGCGTAGTCCTGTCACTCATGTTGTTAGCTGTCACCAGACTGCATGGAAGAACTATGCAGAGGAAAGCAAAGCCGTGCAGTTGACATTTCATTTGACCACTTCTTTGTCCAGAATGTCGTGCACACTACCTACAATTCCTCATTTAGGGCCAGTTCATTTAATGACCTTGTCGCAGGTAATGACACTTAAGTGAGGACTGTTGGTACCATATTGTCATGTTGGCCTTGTTTGCCCAGAATGCCGCTTCTCCTGCCTAGTAAAGCAGGAGATGGAGCCATGGGTGTACATGTTTGTGCCCCTTTGAAAAGGCAACTGACTCTGAATTGTAAGGGACCATCAGACGGAAATGTCCAGTCCGCCGTGTCCACAGTGACTGCACCTGGCTGGCCCCGTGAGGCTCCTGAGCATGCTGCGGAGCGTGACTGAGCTAACTTCCTGTTAGTCCTAAACTTGAACAGCCACATGTGACTAGCAGCTGCGGCGCCCCGCATGCAGGACCGTTCCCATTAGAAGCAGGAACATTCCAGCCTGCCTCACCTCAGTTTCAGCTTCAGAACTCCATCCCAAACGTGGGCATGTTAATCCTCCTCACTGGAAACGAGCTGGAGCCAGCGGGGCTTTGTTCTCCCTGCCCCCCTGAAACCCCACACTGCTGGCTGTCCCCACGCTTCGGCACTGGTCACACTTGTTCCTCTCATGGTAGCAGCTACTTGAAACTGCGGGCAGAGATGTATTTTTTACTCTGTATAATTTAGTTTTAGATTTCTTTCTTTCTTTTTTTTTTTTTTTTTGGTAGATAAAAACATTGCCTTTTACTTCATTTAACCCACATAACAATTCTCTACACTTTACAGATGAGGAAACTAAAGTTCAGTTAAGTCAAAATGGTTGTCAAATTTCTACGCACCCTCGGGACCTCCAGGCTCTACATTTCTTCATCTTATTGCTCAATGGGAGAATAGGATAAAGAAGGATCAAACTAGGTTCATAGGGCTGGGGAGATAGCTCAGTAGAATAAACACTTGCCAGGCAAGCGCAAGGGCCCAAGTTCAATCCCCAGTTCCAGAAAAAAAAAAAAAAAACAACCAACAAAAAAAAACTAGGTTCATAAATCCAAGGTACTAATTAAGGGTTTTTGTTTTGTTTTTTTTGCGGAACCGGGGATTGAACTCAGACCCTTGCACTTGCCAGGGAAGCACTTATTCTACTGAGCCATCTCCCCCTAATTAAGGTTTTTTAAAAACTTTTTTTTTTAACCCTGGGTTCCCTCCTATTCTGGTCTCTCTCCAGTATCACAGCAAACCCCACAGACACCACAGCCCACTGTGAAGACCAATATTTGGCTGTCGTCAGCCACAGGTAATTTTTAACAACATCTACAGTTCTGCCAGTGCTGACCCTCCAGTTCTCTCGCCTTGAATCCCAGGACCCACCTCTGATGTTCAGCGAGGAGTACCAGAAGGGTCTGCTAGCACGGTACCATGCTGTTCTGGATGAAAAACGCAAAGAATATGTGGTTGGAGAGCTCATCTGGAATTTTGCCGATTTCATGACTAACCAGAGTAAGTGGCAGTGGAGCTTTGGGATCCTACCATTTCTGAACTTTTTAGTTCTGGGCATCTGCTTATAAGAATACTTGAAACCAAGGGTTTATAAAATGGTTTAAGTAATGTAGGTAGCATAGAGAATTTCCCAGGAAAGTTGTGCTTCCCAACAGCAAAGTAATCATGCTTCCCAAATTATTTTATGGTTAAAAAGCTAATGGAGGGGCTGGGGAGATGGCTCAGTGGAATAAGCGCTTCCCTGGCAAGTGCAAGGGTCTGAGTTCAATCCCCGGTTCCGCAAAAAAAAAAAAAAAAAAAAAAGCTAATGGACTTAGGTAGACACAGCGGCCAGGGTTTGATCCCTGGTATGCTGTGCTGACCCTGCCCCCGTGGTGCATGCCTGTAATCTCAGCTCTTGGGAGGCAGAACACAGGTAGATCACTATGAGTCGGATCTAGTGAGACCCCGTAGATCCTGTACTAAATACAAAAAAAAAAAAAAGAATAAAAATTGAAAAAAAAAAGCTAATGGGAATGGGGGTGTGTGGCTGGCACACACCTATAATCCAATAATCGGGAAGCTGAGACGGGAAAGTGGCATTGAATCCAGCATGGGTATCCTAATGGGAAACTGTCAAGCTAAGGAGGCTCCTGGCCTGAGGCATGAATGGCTGAAGGACAGTGGAAACCCCAGACTAGACTTGAGAGACACCTGCTATCCAGAGTAGGGTACAGTCCCTGAGAAATGGGAGATCCAGTGAAATGTTTCCTGCTTTTACATTTCTAGCTTTTTTTTTTCTTCATTGTTTCTGGTACTGGGCATTGAGCCCAGGGCCTTCACACTGAGCTATGTCCCCAGCCCTTTTAAAATTTTGAGAATAGTCTTCCCTAATTTGCCCAGGCTAGACTCAAACTTGCAATCTTCCTGCCTCAGCCTCTCAGAAGGCTGGGATTACAGGCATTTGCCACCACATCTGGCTTAAGTAGTTTCTTGACTTACCATGGACTTAGGTCCCTGGTAACTAACTCAAGAGGGCAGTTTCCTGGAGTGGAGGATATGGCATGGGAATTCCACTGTTATTTTTGAGCAAAGCCAGGCCATTGGGAGGTTAGTGTAGATTACAAATTTGGAAAGGGGATAAATGAACAAAAAAAAGACTAGATGGGAGGAAGAAGAGAACAGAGAATAAGGATGCAGACCTGTCCTCTGCTTGGCAAATAGGATCAATGGCATCTGGAAATGCCCTAGGCACTTGGCGCGGCTGTGCAGTGAGAGTGAGCCAAGGGCCCTGGGCAGGTTAGCCATGAACAGGTGAGATGGAGCTAGCTGTACGAGTCACCAGCAGGACTGCCTGGAATGAAACGCTTCACACTCCTGAGCTCAGGCAACTTGGCCTCAGCGTCGGGAGGAGGTGGGACAGGCACACACAGCATCTGCCTGGCTGACGGTAATCTTCAGCCTTTTGGTTGGAAAATGCTCCTTGTCTTTTAACCATTCTGTTTAGCAGTGGCTTGTCCAAAGGGTAATGGGAAAGTGTGCCAAAACATAGCCCTGATAGGTGTTTGTCAGCTTTGTCCTGCCAGAGCAAGTGCCAGTGGTGGGAGCCATGCGGGATGCCGGCTTCAGGGCCTTTGGAAGCCCTGGGGGGTCCATAGACACAGCTTGCTGGGCCGCACCCTCCTTCAGGGTGACTGTCCCACCCGCATCATCAGGCAGCTGGGCACCCATTGCTTAAGTATTCCTTGTAACTAAAAGATAAGTTTTAAAATTTTACCCCCTGCCAGGTATAATGGTGCATGGCTATAATCTCAGCATTTAGGAGGCTGAGGCAGGAAGGTCACTTTTGAGTTCAAGGCCAGCCAGCACTATGTAGCAAGACAGTCTCAAAAATCCAAATTAAATAAGTAAATAAATGAATAAATTTTATCCCCTAACAAGCTGGAAATTAACATAGAAAGAAGTCGTATTTTAATACTTTAACATGCTGAGCATGGTGGTACATGCCTGGAATCCCAGCACTCAGGAGGGTGCGGTAGGAGGATCCCTGTGAGTTCAAGGCGAGGCTGGCTACAAAGTGAGTTTGAGGTCAGCCTCCTAACTTTTGTCTAAAAAGACAAAATACAAAAGAAAACAAGGGGCTGGTGAGATGGCTCAGTGGCATGGTGAGATGGCTCAGTGGTCTAGGGCACCTACTTGGAGCAGGCTTGGCAGAGCGCAGGGACCGCGGTTCAGTCCCCCAGCACCACATGCCGGCCGGCCCCGCCCCCTGGTGGGCTGAGCTGGCAGCGCGCGCGCGCACACACACACACACACATAAATAAATAAAATTTAAAAAGAAAAAGAAAACAAAACTTTAATATGTAAGGTCACTTCAAGCTGAGTGTAGTGGTGCAAGCCCATGATCCAGTGAGGCTGAGGCAGGAAGACCACAAGGTGGAGATCTACTTGGACAATTTAGCAAGACCTTGTCTCAAAAATTAAAAAGGCAGGAGGTGGGGGGTGGGAATATAATTCACTGTGAAAGCCCCTTCAGTCTCCAGCCCTGGCGGTAGGGGAAGGTATTGCTTCTGAGAACCAGCAGCCCTAAACTTAGCGCACTCTTGTGTTCAGTGTGCCCCCAGGCTGTCACATCACAATCATGTGATGGATGACTTCCTCCTTCCTGTATTTTGCAGCGCCGCAGAGGGTGCTTGGGAACAAGAAGGGGATCTTCACACGCCAGAGGCAACCGAAGAGTGCAGCGTTCCTGCTGCGGGACCGGTACTGGCGGCTGGCCAACGAGACCCAAGAAGGGCCCAGGTCACTGTGTTTGCAGTACAGCCCGTTCACCGTGTAGGGCCTCTGTGGCTGCCCCAACATGCAGGTTCCTCCCACAAGGCCTCTGGTCATGTGCTGGAAAGGGGTGTCACAGGTGACAATAAAGCTTTTCTATTACCAGAATGGAGTGGGCAACGAGTGGCTGCCCTTCAGCTGGGTGCTTGACTCTGCAGAAAAGCACGAGGTCATTTTTGTGCATGACTCTGTCCTTGTGGCCGCCTCCACGCCCCCATGCTCCTGGAGGCGGGCCCAGGACCTGCAAACCCTGCAGCTTGTGGTGGTCAGCCACCCCCACCAGGGTCACAGCAGCTGGATCAGCAAGCGCAAGGCAGGCACTGGCACTGGACGGCGTGCAGCACTGACTGCTCCTCCTACGACGAGTTCTGACTTCAGCCACATTCTGGCAACCACTGGTGCCTGGAAACCAGCCCGAACAGGGGGGCTCACTTCACAGGCAAAGGTGTGGGGTGTAGGTGTGAGATACTCCTGTCCTCAAGCTCCGGCCGGGCCCAGCAGGTCTCTCAGGGCTTCGCCCCTCCTTGCCAGTCCTGGCTCTCTGTGCCCACTCGGGGAGGGCAGTGCTGGTGCCAACACCTTCTTGGCTCCTAGGTGTCTCTCCCAGCCTCAATATGCCCTGCCTTAGAATTTTCCTTTTCAGATTTCATGAAGAGAATTGGAAAGATAATGTTGCCTAATCTTACTAGGAAACTTAAGACCATTTCTTATAAGTGAGTAGGCAGTTCAAATAGTACGTTAGGAGTCCCAGGGTGCCACATGTCATGTTATCACCGAACTCCTGAGGTTTTCAAGGTAATCAACTATTGTGTTGCGTGTAATATCAAGGAACAGGCCAGGTGTGGGAGGTTGAAGTAGGACTGCTGTGAGTTCAGGGCCAGCCTGGGTGGCAAGTGAGATCCTGTCTCAAAACAAAAACAAAAATTAATGTCAAAAAATATATAATGCTCTTTAGTTGGCAAACATTAAAAATATTAAGGCTGGGGAAATAGCTCAGTGGCACAGCATCTGCCTGGCAAGCAAGAATGAGATCCTGAGTTCTGTTCCTGGTACCAAAAAAGAAAGAAAAATATTAAAGATGTTCTACAAATGAGGAATGAAGTCCATATCGTGGGCCCTAAGGTTCCGACACAGAATATATGTGTTCTATTCCACAAAGTAAACACTCATCTTTATAGGACCATAAGAAAGGAGCACTCGAGATAAAAGAAAGCTCCGGGAAAACATCTGCTTAGAACGTTCTGTGGAAGCAGTGACACCTCGCATTTATCCCTGACCTCCGCACATTTGCTAAACCCATGGGAACTCCAAGAACTAGAGTTCCTGGAAATCTGTCTTCCGTAAATTACACATGGTTGAAAAGGAAAAGAATCACGCTGCAGGGATGAAATTGTGATACCAACTTCAAGCACAGTTTTAAGGTCCTTAGGGAATCCAAAGACTTCATTTCTGTTTCTTTTTAAAAGCTAAATACTTTGGTAGAAGAATGATGGCAGCACAACTTCCACAGGTAACTTCTACATTTATTTTATACCAAAAAAGTTATGTGCAACAAATAAACATTCTTACATATTTACATTTGTTTTTGTTTACCAGTTAGCAAAATGGTATCCTAAATCTCTGATAAAGAATATTTCTATCTATATTAAAGGGGAAATCTGCCCAGTGAACTCCATTTTAAATGAACATTTACTCAGGAGCTTAAAGCACTAATAATAAATATATTCGATGGAACATACTATACAGATCATACTCCTAATATTTAGGCCATGCTCAATACAGTTTGATAACAAAACATCTCACCTTTTCTGGGCAAATTTGTCCAAAAGATGTTAAGCAAGTAGCTGGGACTTCTCTACCCTTGCCCTTTGGTTTACTGAAGGGTAGTTCTCACAGGTTAGGATTCATAAGCGCTGCCCACAATATCTAAGTAGAAACATTTCACCAATACTCGCGTGCTGGAGGTCAGCATAGGACAAAGGTCGCATATTGGGTACAGCTCCCCAAACAGGTACAGGGAAGAACAGTGGGGCTCTTTGTCAGGCGTTCATCCAACCCTGATTTTGCAGTTGGGCTCGCCTGTCAGCATTCACCGGCACCAGGCAGAGCAGCCCATCTAGTTGGGAAGCAACTGCTCAAGATGTCTTTGCACTTTTTGAAGGATAGTCTTTCAAAAATAAATATAAGTGAAAAACAAGCAAATAAAAAACAATAGAGTTTTTGTAGGTCCAAAGATCCTTTGTACCAAATGAAAAATCTTTGTCTCTTTGTATGAAAATAGTCAATGCTTTCAGTATTCTTTAAAAATAATGAATTAAGGAGAGGCTACATAGATCAAGTCAGAGTGATTCCTGGCACATAGCTAGGTAAACCTGAGTTATTTCAGAAATTTACCCTCACTGACATCAACTAGTTGCGATAAAAACCAAACGAAATCCTCCAAGCCACCTAGACTCCCTAGAACTTACATAACTCCCATAACTTCTCTTCTTCAAATATTTACGACTTAATATGCTTAATTTATTGCAAACTTCAGAAACGTGAAGCATGGAATGACTGCTTGAACCAGTTGCCCCTCAAGTGTTCTTCAACACTGGTGGCTAGCAATGCTGCAATGTTTAACCATTCAGTCTGAAAGTCTTTAATGGTCTTCAGGTTTTATCGCGGTGTCTCTCCCTTGTCCTGGGTGAAACCCAAGGTGCAGAGGAAGCCTAAATCCTCCAGGGCAGAAGAGCACACAGCACGCGGCAGGGTTTTCTGTTGCTTATAGAGATACTGGCATTTCAGGAAGTGCTATTACTCCAGGCAGCACCTGTTCATCTCAGTGAGAAAAAGGGTATGAATTCTACTGGGTCACAGGAATGTGGCAAAAAATTTTATATAACTGAAACAGTGGTTCCCCCAAGGCTTAGGAAAGCGAAGGAAAAATTTGAAGGGTCTGGCTGAACATTTCTATGTATTTTCTCATGTAAGAGTTGTAGATAATTTGCAAGAATGCAACATCAAGACAAGCTTTAACTATACTCTGCTGATTAATACAAAATACGATGAAGGAACATTTGAAATTGGGACATGGGGAACTTGTTTAGCACAACTGTGATGTATATAAAATAACAGACATCTCCATTGTGAAGCCGTTTCCTCTCGAGTTAGAAAAGAGAACTAGTCAACTGCCTTGGTAGAACCGGGACTGGGCTACAAGACGACTTTACTGTACAGTTCTCACACAGAGCTTGTTTCTCCATATACACCAGACACTCAGCACTTTCTAGAGTTAACTACTTAGGAACACAGGAACAATACATACAGAGTAAGACAGGCATTGAAACATTCACATTCATGGGAAAACAAGCCTCGATGAAATCTGAATTAAGCATTTTTAGAAACTGGTTAAAATCCATTAAAAATTCATGACAATTCAGATTTTATGCCTGCCTTGGACCACAAGACCTACAATGTGTCAACTGTATGACGGTTGTAAACTACAAACAACTGCTGGCTCTACAGGTTTTAGTTCATAGAGCAGAGCCTGTCTCCTCCCTTCAAAGAGAAGGCAAATAAAGCACTCAAAAATTATCAATCCAATTGACTATTTGAAACATAATCATTAATTGGAAGCAAAATCACTGCTACAACTTCTCAGTCTAAGGAATAAAATGATCACACTACCTTTCTGGAGAGTGCAAGTTTTCTGCTTCGTGGGAAGGAAGGACACTTCTGTCCAAGTTCAATGCACAAAGTATTTGGTTTGAGATTAAGACAGAAGGCACTTTTAACATTCTGATAGATGTTAACCATAGAAACATACTGTCACAATTTCATTTGGGTTTATTCAAATCTCAAAAAATTCATACTGCCAGAAACAGCAGTGACAACATGTCTGCATTTCACCTTCAGATACTTCTACTGGTAGGACTTCTCCCAATGGAACAACGGAGCGGCACGTAAGCCCTGACGTTTACAGCCCCAATATTTGATTCTAAAATAATTACTAACAATCCTTAGTGCAGAAAGAAACAATTAGGGAAAACACTATGGAGGTACCAGACAGCAATCCTACCTTCTCAGGCGACTAGGCTTACGCAGGTTATTATCATAATACTGTTTGGTTGAGTGGCACCAATATCAATACTAAGGAAAAATATCTGCAATGAAAATTCAACTGTTGTGAGAACCTTTACCTAAAAATGTCATATTGATATTTCCAGTTTTTTTCCCCTCAAAAGAATATGCCAGGTTTCCCAACTTCAGTGTCCTTTAGTTCTTGGACTCATTCTGTAAAGTTGCAATTGATCCAGTTTTATGATGGACCCAAACTTGTCCTGGCCATTCAAATAGTTTCTCCTTTCAGAACAGGGAGATGGGGGAACCCACCCCTGGTGCTTTGCTGTCGATGCTGTACCTACGGCTGCCAGTACTTCCCACAAGATGCTCAGTACAGGCTTACTAGTTCACTACTTTGTCAGTCAGCATCGCGCTGACCATTCCTCACTGCTACACGTCACCTAAACTGTACAGTAAGTTCTGCAGAGATGGATCCAGTATGTCTACCTGTATGTACAAATATCACATAAATGGATTCTAGTTGAATCTACATGTTTCAATCCATCAGCTAAGAACATATTACATATTGTAAACATGGCAATATTTAATAGTTATCTATTCTAAAATATTTTCATGTCATGATCACATTTGTTATACCTGAAATTGAATTTATACACATTAAAGAATTACTAGCAATGGTTGCTCACTGAGGAAAGGGGGCTAGGGCTACATTTTATTATATCAGAAACATCTTCAAAGTAAAGTTAAAGCTTGTCTTTGATTGGCTTGGCATATCCTTTTTTGTGTCCATATTTAAAATGAAGATTGACACAGAAAATAACTAGGGCCCCTTCTAATTTATAGTATTTTAAAAAATCAGTTTAAGATTCTCAGGGAAAGTGTCTGTTGTGAAAAATTAAAACCAAAACTGTTGCAAAATAAACTTAATGGAGAAAGGGGCTTCCTACTGTCAGGAGGAGTCTGTCAGGCGGTCAGTCCTGCTTGGGCTGCAGCTGTCGCTTCCAGGCTTCATTCAAGTAAACCAGTCGTTTGTAGTTGACGATAAGAAGAATGAAGTTCAGCACGTATGTGGCGACGCAGATGATGCAAAACTCCTTCAGTACAAAGTACAGAATATAAGCCAGGTACAAAGACCCCACGACAGACACGATGGAGGATGTCATGAGGATTAAAGCTGCAACTGCACTTGCTGTCATGCCTGCAAGAGAGAGAGAGGCTGGGCTCAGTCGGGCCTCGACACTGGAGAGAACTTCTGTGGTTGCTGCAGTGTATGACTACTGACCTTCCTGCAAAACTCGGAAACTTGAGAACAAAAGCTACATATCTATGCTGTTAAGGTTATGCAAGTCACCTCTGTGGACTGGATACTGATTTTACCAGCTGCAATGCTTTTATCAGTATTTCACATAAAACACTGCTTACCTCCTAAGCGAGCCTTAGTTAAGAATATGGACTCAAGCATGCAATCTCATAAGCACATTAAGCAAGGCAGCCCCAGCCCTCCTAATGCATGAAGGAGCACGAGGAGAGCCATCTCTCTCTCTTCCCAGTGCTGAGTCGCACTGGGTGCCACCTTCCCCCTAGCTTTTCCACCATGGCTCCTCAGCAGTGGGAAGTAAACTTGCTTTTCATCTTTAGATCAAACTCCTCAAAAATCCACACTGGGAGATGACTGAGCCAACGCTGCTAAAAAAAAGGGCAGGACGGAGGGCTTGATGAGCATCTTGGAACTGGCCACTCTAGCTGATAAAGGAAACCACTCTTGTCCAGTTGGCCATACCAGGGTCAAAAGAAACCTGAAATGAAAAGGCAGTTCTGTATGCTATGCCAGGGTTAAGACAAAAACTCAATTCTTGACTTTCCAACTATATAT